ATTCATTCATTCATTCATTCATTCATTCATTCATTCATTCATACATTTCCCACCCATTGTGTTGTTGTTGTTGCTTCTCATTCTGGCTGCGCCTCTGGTGCCATAAACACACCAGAAGAGCAGGCAACAAACACCTTCCTGTGCACAAGGCTACAGGGACGGTCTCAGGCCGCGTGGTGGCGCTCTGACCGTGTCCGCCTGCGCACAGACCAGACCGGCTGCCTCRTGAACCGCGGGGTCGGTGGCATCATTTGGATCAGGGAGCGACACCGCATCGCATGAATCCTCCAGTGATGCGCAGCCGGGGGCATCTTTATCCAACTCCAGGAGAAGAAGAGCGGAACTTCTTCAACTCCCTCCCCGACTCCTCATCTTCACTTGATGACACTTCCTGCGGGACTGAGCTTCTTCTCCTCCTCCTCTAGGGATTCGTGAAAGTTTTATTTTATTTTATTTTCCTTTTTGGAAAGGAGAGTAGCTGAGATGAACCACACCGGCTTCAACCAGACGGAAAGCGGACTCTTCAACAAAACAGAGGAGCTGTTCTGCTGCAACTTCTCCTCCGTGGTGACGGATGATGGCTTTGTGGCCGCGGCTCCGGATGAGAGGAGCCTCTTCATCATGCGCGTGGTCCAGATCGCCGTCATGTGCGTCCTCTCCCTCACAGTGGTGTTTGGCATCTTCTTCCTGGGCTGCAACCTCCTCATAAAGTCCGAGGGGATGATCAACTTTCTGGTTACGGACAGGAGACCGTCGAAAGAAACGGAGGCGGTGATTGTTGGAGCCTACTGATGGATGGAGGGATGGAGGACGCACGGGGCGCGCAATGATCAAACAGCCTGACTTTCACATTTGTACAATTTATTTAAAGAAGAAAAACTTATTTTCCCCCTGAGCTGGACTCTGAGGCACACATGTGGCCTTTTTTAGGACTTGGACAGACTGATGCAGCAGTTAAAGATTGTGGAGACAGAAACGTTTGCTGCATGTTTTGTCAAACAGACTAAATTCTATTTAAAGTCTGGCCTGATGGTGAGTTTTGTGTGGAAAAGGCTGAAGCCAACATCTTCTTATGAATACATTTATTCTAGTATTAAAGTTTGGTTTTCCTTCTGAAATGAATGTTTTCTCCCTTTTTTTTCTTTCAAATTTTAAGAGAAATTAAGATTATTAATGCTGACTAAGATTATAATGCAACCTATTTTTGTTTATATTTTATTTAWATTTTCAATTAACATGAAGGTTTGGAAATTTATAATTGTAGAGGGAAATTGTGTTTATTATTGGTGATAAATAAAAGACAATAGAAGGAGAATGTAACGGATTTTTCCCCCCTGCATGTCTGTCTGTTAGTAAAATATCTCATGAGCCGCTGGACTAAATTTAATAAAACTTTCAGGAAATACTCACTCGAACATTTACAACTGTTTAGCTTATGGGGCCAACTCAGTTTAAGATGGCCACCAGAGCCAACTAGCCTTTAAAAACACATGAACTGACAAAATTCAGTGAGTTATGCTTGTTGTGGTAAATGAAAGCTACTTACAACACCAAGAGATCTTTGTTTGTAGCTGATGGTTGAATGTATTTTAATTAAACTTTCAGAAAGTAATCACTTGATGTGCATCTGATTCGCTTTTGGAGTCAGTCTAATTCAACATAACTGCAGGTAATTAATATTAGTCAAGACAAAAGTTGGTTTAACTGATATTAAGTTAAAATTTGATGATACTCTGAGTGTGATATCGTACATGTCGTTGTTTCTTAACATAAGAAGATCTTAGTCTATTGAAATGAAAGGCAACAAACCATGCATTCTTCCAAGGAGTGCTACGTTAGGTCTTTAATTATCATTTTATTTATTTATTTATTTTCTTGTCTGGGTCAGACTTTGATTCATGCAGCCTTTCACATCCTTCCTCCTTCTGTCACAACATCTGCCGTGCTCTGGCCCCGGCTCACCTGTTCGCCGGCTCCCCGGCAGCTTCAGAAATGACTTGTCTTGTCAACGCAGAGGGAGAAGAAGCCACCGGGCAATATGCTGCCGACTCGTTTGCCACCTGTGCTTTGCACCAAGTAAAACCGCAATCAGATTACTTTCTCTAAAACGTCCTTCACCCTCTGGACCCCCCCAACCCCGCCCGCTCTCAGGAGCCATGTGTTCTGTTGGACAAAGGTCTCATTCTCCCTCTGAAGGCCGTCCACGTGCTTGGCAGAACTGACAGATTGACCATCTAAGATCCCACCCAGAGGTCTTTACGTTAGGAAACTGATGCAATCTGCCAGAATAATCTACAGTGTTTATAACAACAGATGGTCAAGTTGTAAGCGGCCAAACTCTTGATGGTTTTAGATTTTCACACTTTTAGGGGGCAGGAAAGATCCCTTGTGACAACATAGTGTAACACAGTGAAGTGCAACAAAAAAATAGCATTTTCTGCAAAAATGTAATGAGTATTGAATGAGTTTGCTGAACTATTTTGAAGCTGAAACTGAGTTCTTGAAAGAACACTAAAAGCTAAAAGCAGAACACAAGCTGAAAGCTAAAAAAGATCATAAGATTGAGTAAAAGTAAATGGTGGTTCAAAAAGAAAAAAAACTAAAGCTAAAAGTAGCATTATGGTAAAAGAAGTAAAAGGCTAGCTTAAAGCTAAAAGTAGCATTATGGTAGCTATTTGTGTCCTTCTAAATTGGTTTAATGCAAATTTTAATCAGGGGCGTCTCCAAATGTTTTCAAAGGGGTGGCCAGATTGGGTTTGCTCGCGATCTTTGTTCTGGCACAATTAAAACGCCTGATAATTTGGTGAGTTTTCTTGTGCTGATGTTATATAAGCTTTTTAAAAAATACTGCCTTTTGGGGCCAGGGTTTTACTAATCCAACATAAGGTAAACTTAAAAATGTACAAGGCTCAAAACTGAGGAGGTAAAGAGGCCTACAGACGCCAGTGTGGGTCCAACAAATTTATAGGCTGTGGCCATCTTTCAACTCAGACAGAGTCATAATCTACATAAATTGGCATAAAAGTCTTGTTCCAAATCTAATGCTGTGAATTTAGACAGCTMAGSAAGTTAAAATTCAAAATGATGAGGTTGGAATTTACATTTCTTTAAAAGCAGCACCTCAGCTAGTCTACTACCATAAAGGATCACATGGATACAACACACACTAACATCCTGGTGCCATTTTTCATGACTTTTTTTTTTACTTTTTTGTGTAATCTAACCTCTTTTAATATAAAAGCTTCTGAGTAAAGTTGCAAGAAGTGTTTTTTTTTTTTTTGTATGAACTCATTCATCCAGTTTATTGTCACATAACAGGCTTTTGAGGAGGCAAAATAGACTAGCTTGAAGCTAAAAGTAGCAGAATAGCTAAAAGCACTGATGTCCAAAGTCAGTCCTTATGGGTCGGTGTCCTGAATGTTTTAGGCGCTGCTCAGGTTCAACACAGCTGAACCTAAGGAGTGCTTAATTAGGCCTCCTCAGGATGCCATCAAGGTCTGCAAAAACTTACTAATTAGGCACTCATTACGTTGGACACCACTGGCTAAAAGTAATGAAAGACAAAAACAGAGAAAGAGAGCTGAAGCAAATTTCAAAACGGAGAAGAATTTAGAAAGGATTATAGAGATTTCAATGTATTTATATTAAGAAAATTGCCCAGAAAAAAATCCAAATAAAGTTAAACATTTTGAAAGTATAAAGGTTTCTAAAACCAAAAGCCACAGCGTCTCTTTCCTGAATGAGCCAAACATGTTGATGTGTGAATGGCTAAAACAGCACAAACAAGACACCGATGTTAGTCGTGTTACACTTTTGAAATTATAATCAACTTCCTTTAAAGCCTCATTTTAAAAAATCTGCAGTGACACATGGAGAGTGGTGAGACAGACACATTTTTTWAAAAAAAATCAAACTTCACGCGGAATAAATTTGCACACGAATCAAAGCTTCCACGTCCACATCCCCTCACACATTCAGACGTAGGCAACAATATGTCTGACTTCCATCTGAGGCAACAAATCCTTCATTTGAGAGCAGAGAGCTAAACATTCAATATAAATTCATTTATGGGAAAATAATCTTTTTTTCTAAACAGAATTTGTCCCTTTAAAAAGGATAACAGCTAAAATATTAACAACTCACAACATAGTTTTGGATCCCACAGCAGGGCTTTTCTTCGGCTTTGTGAAACTGCTTTCATTAGTGAACACTGGAAATTGCGCACAGGAAGATATTGGGGACTTTTAAATATCCAGCTGAGAACAATCTTCTGCCTGTCCCTAAGCGGTTAGCGTGCTGAGCCTAATGCACAAATCCTCAGGCTGGAGTCTGGTCAACTTTGAGGAGCCTGGGAGAAAAACAAAAGAGAAATAGTTACTGAAATTTGCAAACAAATGGACTTATTTTTTTATATTTTACAGGTTAGTTTTGTTGGAGGCAATTTCTTAAAGGTTTAACACTCCTGTCAGTCCCTGCAGCTGTCTTTATGTCGACTCAGGAATGGCTGTTATACTCTGCACAAACCCAAAGCAGCAAGGCAGGTTATTAAAAATACATCGAATGCCTGATGTCACTGTGCATTCTCACACTTTTCCCCCAAAGGAAGAAAGTGTTCGGGGTCAAGCAAGGGGAAAAAAACATATATCACGTCTCACTATGTCATCATGAAGCATCAGTCTTGTAAAAAAATGTGTAGCACAGAACAGTGCAGCTCTGGCTCATTTTATCCCATATGGACTGAAAGAGGACTGTGCTCAACCATGACAGCATCTGTGGGGTGTTGATTGTGGCTAAAACAGGCTTTCAGGTCCTAGCTCGCTCGCGTGTGATTGGTTGTTGAGCTGAAGTCCGGTCAATGAACTGGATGGCGACTAAAAGCCCTGAATAAAAGCGAGGCAAGCGCCGTTGTTCTCTGCTTTTACTCCTAATTTACTCCTGTTCTCCCACAGCTCATCTCCTGCGCTGCCGACATCTGATTTATGCTGCTGCTCAGACAAAAATGTTCTACCTTTTTTTTCCAATAACAATTAAATATGATTTTTCTTTCAAATCCAACAGTGTTAGAGTTCTCACCTTATATTTGCTTAGGCAAAATTTTATACCTTATTACTTTCAGGAAATAATGTTGGAGTCAACAACACACAACAGGTTGTTGGGGAAATATAGTAATAGTCAAGTTTTAGATTATAAGCTCAAATTTGGAGTGGTAGCTAAGGATCATCCCCACACATTGAGCAGTATTTTCTTCCCCTAAAACTTTAACATTAACTGTTGAATTCAACCCTGCCTGCAGAAAGTGTCCAAACTCCATGCAGACTRGTTCTGGAGAAGGATTCCAGTTTTGGGATGAGTCATGGTTCTGTTGTGCTGCTGAAACATGACAGGGATTTAACATCTGAACAATGCTGCCTCTGACACTTTGCTGTAATCCTGTGTGTGTGTGAGGTTATACTGTAACCTGTTTTCTCCCTGTTGTACCATGGGAAACTCAATCACATGGTGACGAAGACTGATGCCAACAATGCAAATCCTCTTTGTATGGAAAATAATTGCATGAGCTCAGGAYTGAAAGCCACTTTCAGTGACCACAGTTCATCAGCGCAGCTGCTAATCCAAAGTTAAAGTGTTAGAAACAAAAATTCAAATGTGGACTTGTGAGAGCTTTAAAACTGAACTTCATTTCAGAATTGCAGAAAGCATTGTGCAGTTGTATCTGAATGTACCAACAGGTAAACTGTCTCTTAATAAAACAGTGAAATACAAACCCTATCTATTACATTTGTTCTTTAAAACAAATAAAATATTTTGGTCAGCATACCATTCAGCTTGAATCATTCCTTTTCTGTGGGAGACCAAGCTACATGCATTTAGTACCACTACTCATCTGAATTCTCTCAGAAGAAAAGATGCCTTCTTGCACTGGCCATAGTTATTTTGTGTGTTGTGGAAGGGTTCGTGTTTAATGGAAACATGCATTATTTAAGTTCACTCACCTATTTGTGTCCTTCTAAATTGGTTTAATGCAAATTTTAATCAGGGGCGTCTCCAAATGTTTTCAAAGGGGTGGCCAGATTGAGTTTGCTTGCGATCTTTGTTCTGGCACAATTAAAAGCCTGATAATTTGGTGAGTTTTCTTGTGCTGATGTTACAGCGGGTAAAATAAGTATTGAACACATCAACATTTTTCTCAGTAAATATATTACTAGAGGTGCTAATGACATAAAATTTTCACCAGATGTCGGTAACAACCCAAGTGATCCATTCAAACCATAAATGTCCAGAAATGAAGTTATTTGTAATAACGTGGAATGGCACAGGGA